CATATAGAGATCCGATATCATTTTATCAGAGATCATGTTATGAATGGTGATATTGAACTTCACGTCGTTCCAACTGAGTATCAACTCGCTGACCTTTTCACCAAGCCTCTTGATGAGACAAGATTTAACATCTTGATTAGCGAATTGGGGATGTTGAACACTGAATATTAATCTTCATCTATTAAGCATCACTCAGTAAGTGAAATGATTCAGTGCTCTATCTCTGACACTTAACTTTTGAGTAAATATATCTATTTTCTCTCATGTATGATTACTCTTCTCTTTTCTTCAACTTAAAACCCTCACTGAAGCTTTTCTCTTTCAGTGTCTAAACGTTTTAAAAGTGGTTTTAGTGATTCTCTTGTCACTGACCATATCTAAGTATATCTTTATACTTGCTCTTAAAAATCAAAACAATCACTGAACTTTTCTCCTTTAGTGATTAAAACGCTTTTTAAATGCCAGTTTCAGTGATTCTCTCATCACTGACACTGATGCCTTAAAACCCTCACTGAATCTTTCTTTTCAGTGATAAAATGTTTTAAACGGTCTTATCAGTGTTTTGTTAAATACTGTATGACTCTTTGTTTTCTTAAAAACTTTTTTTTTAAAATAAAATAGTTAATAAACCGTCTTAATGACGACATTCTCTATTTACTATGCGCAACGCTTTGAGACGCGCAAAAGGTTCTGTCATTACGCTACCTCATTTAATGCCATCCAATCATGAATAAGAACATGGTATTTTTCATCATTACCAATTTCTCGAACCGTCGTCTTTTTACCCTCTCATATTCCTTCTCTCTCCTCCTGCCTATAAATATGAGACTTCTTCTCCACTTTTCTCTTTACGCTTTCAAATTTCTTAGACGGAACTCTGCTAAGATCTCTCCAAAACAAGAACTCTCTCAAATCTCCAAACACTTTTCGACCTTTCTCTCTAATCTTCAAAGGTCAATATTTTCTTCTTTCTCTTCTACTATAAGAAATATGTTTAATCTGTTTAAGAACTTTGTTCTCTTAATACATTAAATTATAAAGATTATTTAATCAACTCCTTCTTGGTTATAATCTTGTTTCTATATACACACTTTACTTGAAAAACCCCTAAATCTTCATTAAGGATTTTTCAAAAGAAGTTTTTATTTTTTCAAAAACTTTCTCTATACTCTTCTCCCAAACAATCTTGGTTTAAACTAACAATCTGTTTATATATTTCTTATTGTTACAAACAGATGACCGCCAAGAATGTCAACTTCTCAATCGATGAGGTCTCCTTCAAGGCCAATAATCATTAGGTAAGTCCATGGTCAATAGAGTTAGATCCCTCCTATCAATCTTAGCCCTCTTCTTCTCATCAACATTATACATCTTAACATCCTTCTTAATTCGAGATGCAGGGATCTCTAGAGTGTTATTAGTTCCAGGAACTACATGGATCTCAATGAATACCTCAAGTGGTCCTTCATTAATTGATTTCATTAAATCCTCATCAATGTTGTCAAGAAATTGAATCATGTGGATTCTCTATTGATGACACTCTCCAACAACCAAGGCAGAAGGTTTTGTCTCAAATCCGATACTTATCTATTCTTTTGATATCTTTATATCAGTAATTAATAATCGATTCAACTGAACTTGACAAGATTCAAAGAAATTTATCAAGAAATAGATCAAATTAAGAATAAGAACAATTTCACTATAATCTGATTGAATTTGATCAGTTTTTGAATCCAAAATCTTCAAGAATGAAATTCTTCACGATAAGAATCAATATCTTGAAATTAATTGTAGATATCCTTTCCACATTGCAGTTGAAAGGCTCTGATACCAATTGTAGATTCTTGTATATTGATCTTACTAATTATAGTAACAAAGATTCAATAACAGATAAGGACTATGTAGATATAGATCAAGAAAGTCGGCATGTCATTGATTTTCAAGTTTGAGTACATGAGAGAGAATCTAGAGAGGTAAAGTATTACATAAAAGTACAAGTGCAAAGTCTGTATAAAATTATTCTAACAGACTCAAGTAACTTTATTTATACTAGAATAGAAGGACTTAAGATATATGACGTTACAAAGCAGAGTAATTACAAATTGACACGTGTTCTAGTATCATAGTCTTTAGGTCTTTAAAAGATAGATGATCTCAGAGTGAATTGAACAAGTATCTAACTAAGGGTAAGTGTATCCAGAGTTATCTTCCGAACTCTGATCTCCCTCCAGTCGAACTCTTAAGACTTTGTTCCTTAGAGCCTTTATCTCAGTTCCGAACTCTAGATCCACTATCCAGACATGTACATAGCAGATTATCTAATTCTAGCTCTTCTTATTCAGGACTTTAGGCTCTCTTTCCAGAGTTAAGCACTTAGACAAAAACACATCTTGAACCAACTTTACAAAGCAACCTATAAATAAGGTGATAAACCTAATTCTTTGATGATCAAATCTTTTAGGTTTTGACTATCAAAAAAAAAATGAATATTATGTTTTTTTTTTGTTAAGAAACACATATTTAGATTTAGGGGTTTTGGACTAGCACCAGATAGAAGATAACAACGTGTTCGTATGTGGATCATAATATAGGAAATCTACATTGATTTCTAAGGTGCTTTGTCAGAACGCACGCCAAATCTGAAAATGGTTTGTCTAGATTTGTTTTAAATGTTATTGGATCTAACTTAGTGTTTCTGGAAAAGATTTCTAAAATAATGTAACCTAAATTATTTTTCGCTGCATTTTTAAAGTTACAAAGTTGTTGTAAAAGCATATAGGGGGCATAAATTATTTTCATATGAAGAAAAGAAAGAGGAATCGTTTGGTATTTAGACATCATCATTAGATGCAAACAAGCATAAATGTTGGTGATGATGAAATCGGAGTCTGTCCCATGGGAACCAAAAGGGCAAAAAGGAAAAAGAAGAAATCACAGCTACCTCAAATGCCGAAGTAAAAGGTAAGCAAGATCTAATCAATAAAAATACCACTTTGTGGATGTCTTGGATAAATGAAGTGAATGAAAACATCAAGTAAATGAGAAAATTATTCAATTAACCAAAAAGATTGGAAGAAAAAAGAATCCTAGTGCAAAATACAGAAGGCATGACAAATGAACAACTAGCGTATCATAAAATTTTGTGTGACGAAACTAAAGTGAGATGCAATATTCAGGTTTAAAGCTACTTTTTTTAATATTGGTTACTGTAATGTTTTTAGTTTTTAAATTTTAATATTAAATTATTTTTGTTTTTGAAAAATATGACGTGGGTTTTAAAATAATAAAATTAAATAAGGAGTTTTTATAAAACATTTTAAAACGATGAGGATAATTATAATGTGATCGATGAAAAAGATTTTGAATTGGAAAAGAATAGAAATAAGTTTTTGTTAAAATAGCAACTAGAAAACTAATGTGACAAAAATAAAAAAGTAATTAAAAAATTAAGCATCGGATATGCTTTTATATTATTCACTACAACATCAACAAAAAAATATCAATGTAACCTTAGGGTGCGTTTGGTACGCTCGATAGAATAGAATAAAAATATGTTCCATATTTGACAAATTTTTTATGTGAAACAGACAAGAATAAAGTGGAATAGGGCTGTTTCACCCCTAGCTTGTAGAACAAGGTAGAATAGACTTATATTTTACCAATATAATCTCAAAATAAAACTTAATTATCTTATAAAACATCAAATATGTCTCTTTTTTACATTTAATTCATTCTTTAAATTTTATTTATTGTATTTTTGCTTTTTAAATATTCATTTACGATCCTCCAAATATTATTTGTATATGACTTCTATATTTTTATTAATTTATGTAACTTATTATATATTAATNAAAGAATAATATAAAAATTAAAAACTACATAAACTTTTTATTTTGGTGTCATTTTAATTGTTTTGACTAAAACTTTCTGATAATATATTTTGTTGTAATAAATATTTATTTTATTGTAATTTAATAAATTACATAAAACTAATAAAAAATATATATACAACTCATTAAAAGTAAATTGGTCATTTTATTTGCTCTATTTTGTACAATTTTGTCTTATCAAACACTGAACAACTATTATGTTTTGTCCTGATTTGTTCTATCTTATCTTGTCTGGATACCACATACAAGCCCGTTCCTGACATTTTATAGGCCCTGGACGAACGTAAAAACATGACCCACTGCAAGAAACAAGGCACCAACTTTTGTCGTCGCTAAAAGTCCATTTATCATCAGAAATAACATAGAACAATAACATGGCGTCGTTATAACTTGTAACGGAAATATGTGATCCCTAAAGGCGCATCGTCAAAACACACTTTTCTTGTACTGATCCTTAGTAAGTAGGAAAAAAAATTCAATAAATGTTTTTTATCAGTATAAAATTGAGTATAAAAAATGATAATAATTTACTGAGAAAAGAAATCTTAATAACAAGAAATATGTGTTATTTTGATACAAAAAAAGAATTTATGTGAATGAAATAGTCATGAGGGTCAATGAGAGATCAATAATAAAGAAGATTATCAAAGTTTTCTATACAAGTAGACAAATGAGAATCAATAAGAATATGAAAGAAAAGATGATCCATTGAGATCCAATAAAAATAAATAATGAATTAAACATATAATACGCAAGCTCAACAAATAATTGTTTAAGCACTTAAATAGAATTACAAAAATCTATTCATAATTTGTAATACAAAAGGGTACCACATCATCAATTTCTTTGTACGTCTCAAATCTAAGGAGAAATAAAAATTTTCTTGTGACCATGAATGTTTAAATACGATGACTCCGAATTATCTGTAAAACAAGTGGTCGTCTTAAGATTAATCGGCTCGTACAACGAGTTGAATATTCAAATTAATAACAAAAATAATAAATTTGTTAAAAGAAATCGCTGTAATAGATGGTCAACTCCACCAATCTTCATAATACGAGGGGCTTAAGTGAAATTTAAGTTAGGTCATATTGATGGATCTTTGTGAGTATTAAAACCCTTGTAAAACCTTCGCTCCAATCAAATTACCGGCGGCCCATTAATTTACAGCATTGTCGGAGTTTGATTCCTAAATTATTTTGAAAAAGATGAATCGTTATACCTAGATCTCTCCCTATTATCAGCATTAAGGTCGCCGTTCTCCTCGTTGTCGCTCCGTGTATTTCAAGATGGTAAGTAGCTATAATGGTTTTCGATGATCGATTTTAGGGTTCAGTTTCGATCCTTAGTTATATCATATGCTCCTAGTCTTCTTTATTACCTCCCCCCCTTTCCCGTTGATTACTTGATTTATCAGGTTTTCTCATGATTTCAGCTTCCATTATCTCTGCTTAAGACGTCACAAGGACATCCTATGGTGAGTCTCTCCCTAATATATATATATATATATAGATTTTATCTTTGTTGCTATGACCTTTCTGTTGAAATCGTTGTGAAGAAAAAATTTCTTTTTCCTTGAAGAAAGAAATATGATTCCCTTCAACCTGGTTGTGTGGTGGTTGCATCTAAACCATCGTATAAATGAATAAAATCATGCGCAGTTTGTTATTTTTGAAAGTTACATGTAAATAACAATGCTAATTGTTATTGATTTTGTTAAAAGCTCAAAATTAGAATCAGGATGAGTAGCTAAAGAAACAAAGAATAACGATCCTGGATTGACTTGGGGTTAGATTACTTTTTATTTGATTTTAAACGGCAACGAAACTCGCACACAATATCGCATATTGGTACAGTTAGGCCAATGACCGCATGTTATTTTTTATTTGATTATATTTTCATAAATAGTTAGAGCGAATAATCCAACATGATTTTTGTAGTTTTGTATAAAAGAAGCCTCGCCAAGATTTTTGGTTCTATACCACTTGTCCTGCCAATGTTTAAATGCATGCATTTTACAGCACTCTAGCTTTGATAGTTAGATGATTCCAGAAAGTATCTATCAGATTAACCTAATATATACCATCTCTAAAGCCACAGCATACTTTTTGATGTAAAATGTAGAACCTTCCCTATGAGTAATTCTTATGAATTTTGAATTTTATTAAAAACTTTAAAACTGAGTGGTGCTCATTTGCAGCAAAGGTCTTAAAGTTTGTTATGGTTCTCAAAGTTCTCTCGAAATTTTTTACTCATACCAATATTGAGATTAAAGAAGTAACATCGTGGATGCTGAAAGTGCATTTGATTTTGATTTGTTTTCCTCATACAGAGAGAGTGTTATCTTTAAATTTGGATAAGCAATTATACATATATATTAAACCCAAAATTTTGGTTTAATGACAACAAGTCAACTGTGACTAATGTATTATGTTGGCAAAAATGAAGCATGTCAACCATGTAATGTGGGAAGTATGATGCAACTTTCAATTACCACTTCTATCTTTTTTAGAAAGTTCTAGGTTGTGAAATCATACATATATGCTTGTGGATTTACTAACATTATATTTCTTGTTACAGCTGGTGGAGCTGAAAAATGGTGAAACTTACAATGGGCATCTGGTGAACTGTGACACCTGGATGAATATACATCTTCGCGAAGTGATTTGTACCTCAAAAGTACTTTTATTTACAGTTTCAGTATTCGATTGCTATAATTCTTTTCTCTATGGGTATAGCCCTACCTTAAAGATAAGGAATGTGCTGAAGTATGAAAACTGTTGACAGGATGGTGATAGGTTCTGGAGGATGCCTGAATGCTACATCCGTGGAAACACTATAAAGTATCTTCGTGTGCCAGATGAGGTATTTGAATTTCTGTATGTTCAATGGCATGTCAGTCTGGAGTTTTCTTCAGAGTATTTGATGCTCCTTTCAACTTGTGTGATATTTTAAGACTGCTATCTGCCAAACCAGTAAGGAGTTGGTAGTCGTGTAGGAAAAGAAGTGACGTGGTTGCCAAAATTGTAGGTAGCACCATCTGAGGCTGGTGACTTGTAAAGTTCCAGTTGACAACAATTTAGGATCTGGAGATGTTTATTCAGATGTCAACCTGTTGAATGTGTTCATCACTTCAAAGTTGTTAAAGGCTCAAGGCTCACTTAGGCGCAAAGGGATCCCAGGGCCTAGGCGCGGGCCTCAGGAATGTGAGGCGCTTCTTATAAAAAAAGTATATATATATATGTACACACACAGAGTTATACACAACTCAAATAGCAAGTACTCCAGTGCAGCAACCAGCAATACTTGATAGAGGCAGAAGGGAGAACGGTTTAAAGCGTGAGTCATGAGGGAGAAGTTCTAGGGTCTAGGTATTTATACAGAAAGAGGCTTGAAGTTATAAGAACTGGGTATTTAATATTAGTGTTTGACTTATATCATCTATTTAGTAACTCTTCTTTTAAGAAGTCTTAGGAGATTAGAAGATGAGAAAATTTATTTAATATTGGGGTTTGACTTGATATTTAGTAACTCTTTATGAGGCATGCCTAGGCCCAGAAGGCACCTCAACCAACGACAGGACTTTAGTGAGCCTCATGAATAAGCCTAGCCTCGACTTTAAAAAAGCCCAAGACCTTGAGCCTTATGAGCCTTATGAGCCTTGGAGCCTCAGCGTGCCTCAGGCGAGCTTTTAACAACTATGCATCACTTCGTCAATTGATTCTTAACCCTCAATATCTGTCAATTTTAAGTAAATCTAGACCCAATCTTAAGTTCAATGAATGTCTTGACATGGTGGACGTGCATATCGACTAGTTTCTTTTTAATTGTATCTGTTTTTTTGTATTGAAAATGTACACATAGCTTTCAATTTATGGCATGAGGACTAGTGGACTTTGGTGCAACCCTACACCTATTGGTTGTTGGTTTGACTGAACATTAAGAGGGTGTGTGCATATTTTTCTAGTTTTTCTTTTTCTTCTAAAAGATATGGCATGAGTCTTTAAGGATTTCTTTGGCTTCATAAAATGATCAGACTTATATTGGACTTATTGGTTCACTTAGTTTCCTATTGCAGATGTAAGAAATCTAATCATCAAATTTATCCTTGAATTTTGTTGTGATTTATAGTCATGATCAGCAGTTCAGTCTTTTCAGGCTACCTTTCTTTTTGCACACACTTATTGCATGCTTTTGCAAATTGGGGGTCTTCACAAAAACAGCCGCTCTACTCTTCAGTGTTGGGTTTGCATACATCTCACCCCTTCCAGGACCCACCTTGAGTGTGATATGCTTGGCTTGTTTTTTCATTATGAATAAAGATCTTATTTGTTTTTATCTTTTTACTTTACGATAATACATTTTCTTCACAGTTATGTTTATAGGGGATTCTACAAGCAGCTCTTTAAGGCTGAAGATTTGTCTATTTGTGTATGCCTGTCTGGAATGATGCAACTTAGCCAAATCAGACATGGATGTGCTCCGTGGGATTGTTTCTAAGTAGCTTGTGCCAGCATCTGTTGGATGCAGTTGTGCAAGTCACAGTTCACATCCTTTGTTGAAGTGCATCTCTCTGATGATAAAACAGAGAATGGTTGCTAGCTGACCAGATTTTGTTCAGGCCATATATTATTTGTTTTCAAGTAGAAAGATGGTGCCATACATACATATCATGTACATTTTTTAGTCTGTTAACTGGGAGGGATCCTTTTGCACTAGACTTCCCATATCTTGCTGACTCTTGTCTGGTTTCTTTTGTATGTGCCTAAGATGTGTCTGACCTTGCAAGTATAATTGTGCAATTGGTATGACAAGTTATATTGTTCCTCTGGTTGGAACAACTTTAATTTTATAGGGTCATTCTCAACTGTCTAGTAGCTTCATCGGACGCATGTACTCATGTTGGTGTGCATATCTTTATTATACCAACAATTTCACTTGCTTAATAATCCAACTTCAGTTTTGATTTTTTACCAAAATTTTACACTATTCTGAAGATCTATCTATGACTTGGAGTTGGATTTGAATCAATGTGGGTAAAAGATCAATACTAGTGTTCAAGCCAACTTCTTCTCCCCTTGTAACAAAGATCCTCTGCAGTGCTTTCTCTTCACACAGGGAACTTTCTTTATTGTGACTGACATCTCAATGCCCTCTTCGGTCTGCTGCCTTTCTTCATCTTAGATTGTTATATTCTTGGGTTGGAAATATAGTGCCCCTTCTAAATTGTATGCAATTGCGGGGATGTCATATAATTTTTTTATAGCAGTTACATTTTTTGTTCTCTCAATGGATGCAGTAGACAACGTTTATTACATTCTCTTGCTTTTGTTTCCAGGTGATTGACAAGGTTCAGGAAGAAACCAAGAACCGTACCGGTATGATCTTCCTTTGAAATTTGTTTCCTGTTTCTTTTTTCTAGTTTGGAAGGAAATTTTCTTAGGCCTTTGATACAACCAAGTGTCTGATGCGAAAAAGATAACAATTGGCTCTGGACCAATCTCAAGTATAACCAAAATCAATGTCTCTACAGTTTGCATGCATTTTCTTAATATTTGGGATTTGCTTTTCCTTTTCTATTCCCTTCTCTAGATGCCTATATATATGGAGAGAGAAAGAGAGAGGGATTTGGGGGTCATATGAGATCTCCAGTTCTCATGAGACCCGAGTGCTTGAATGAGTTGATCGTGCTGATCCTTCACAGCAGAACACCGAACCCTCACATGAAAAATTGAAGATTCACATGAAAGAACTGAACCTTCACAATAAAATCTTGAAAAACACGGCAAACCTTCATACCAAAAAGGAAAAACACACCAAACCTGACAGTTCAGGCTACGGTTGTGTTTTTGCCTTTCTTGATATGTGGGTATACTGCCTTACTTCTCTGTATGTGTCCCCAATGTGCTATTGTTCCCTACACATTTTTCTTGCATATCCAAGGGGTTATCATGGAAACAACCACCCTACTCTTTGGGGTAGAGGTCAGGTGTACATCTCACCCCTCCTAGACCCTGTTTTCGTTTTGGATTTTACTGGGTTAGTTTGGTTTATACCGATAACAAATATTTAATTCTTAGGCTACATTAACCAAGATGAATATTTGCTAATTTGTTCATTATTGGTTTTCGCAGATAGAAAGCCACCTGGGGTAGGGCGTGGAAGGGGAAGAGGTAGGGATGATGGTGGTGGTAGAAGGCAACCAAGAGGCATGGGGCGTGGCATGGATGAAGGAGGTGGTAGAGGGAGGAGCCAAGGAGGCTATGGAGGCAATCCCAGCAACAGAGGTATGACATTATCAACCTAAAATGTTGGTTTAAAAGGTCTTGGTGATTATAAATATATATATTTTATATATAGCCATATAGGGTTGGGTTCTGGTGAGATCTAGTGTTTTGCGAGAACATGAGGAAAAATTAAGGTGACTTTATATTGTCTGAAAGTTTATCGTGGGAAGAGATACGCTTGTATTGTGTGACAGTTACAACATTCATACAATATAATGTAACCTCTGGATACACAATTGAAGCCAGAAGGCAATGTAAAAGTGATGACTTTCATACAATAGAACGTCGCATTCATACACTAAAATATCTTCACTTGTTTTCACATTCTCCTGAAAGTGAATTTTCTCACCCCCTCATACACACATATAATATATATATATATATATACACACACATATAATATATATATATATATCTTATGTTCCGGTGAGAAATCAAATTCTAAAGAAGCATAGGAACCATTTTGTAAGCTTAATATGTAAATGTACGGTAATACATGTTAA